TACTTGCATCCAGTCTATTACCTAAACCAAGGACAAACTTTAAACGTGAAAATGAGAAATAACAATGCTGGGGAATTTCGAAAACATATCTGAAGTCCAACTAACCCATATTCATCAAATAACGCTGTTTTCAAGCAATAAATTAGCATCTGATAAAAACAGAATGTCGTGAAAGTTTATTAACAACAAATTACGAAACATCTGATGAAGGTGGGAGACCCCATGCAATTACTAAATAATACTTTATTAAAACACATAAAAGGAGAACTGTCTTTTCATAGCATATCGCATTATAGTGAGCGTCTGAATTACTGATTACTAATATTAAGATGAAAGAATCTGAACACTAATGGTCACAAGCAACAGCTGTGGAAGGGATTTTTAATTTGTGGACAAAGTTGGCGAAATCACGATTTTCTATTTGCAATTTTAATTATACCCCTCTAATTTTCCAGAAGATAATATAAATACTAGATATAGTACTGGAATTGCAATTACAAAACGAAAACCCAAGCGACGCTCATCTATATCGTACAATGGCATTTAACATTATGAGGGTATGTATATCTTAATTTATATAAATTGCAAAGGGTGTGCACCCATAACTGTCTGTAAATCTGCCCGGAAAATATCTGATAGAATTAAATGTAAAAATAGTTTCATTATCAATGTTTGATCAAAATAAAAGGTAACTGGACAACTCGGACCCAGGACAACTCGGACCCTGCATGGACAACTCGGGAGTCTCGGACCCAAGACAACTCGGACCACTTGAAATAATGATATTAACATCATAATATGGGGTTTTAATATTGAAGCTAAAGACCCAAGACAACTCGGACCACTTTTTGAGATTATGATTTTTATCATGATATGGTTTTTATTTTTTATTTTATGTTTAGTATGACATATTATACATATTTTGAATTCAAATATTGTGTTAATTTGATGTAATTGTTTAAAATCAACTTAATTGATGAGAGTTAAGAAGAAAATATTGAAGCTAAAGACCCAAGACAACTCGGACTTTTTGAGATTATGATTTTTATCATGATCTGGTTTTTATTTTTTATTTTATGTTTAGTATGACATATTATACATATTTTGAATTCAAATATTGTGTTAATTTGATGTAATTGTTTAAAATCAACTTAATTGATGAGAATTAAGAACAAATATTGAAGCTAAAGACCCAAGACAACTCGGACCACTTTTTGAAATTATGATTTTATCATTTTATGTTTTTTATTTATTTTATGTTTAGTATGACATAAATACATATTGTGAATTCAAATATTGTGTTAATTTGATCTAATTGTTTTAAATCAACTGAATTAATGAGTGAAAATATTGAAGCTAAAGACCCAAGGTATATTAAAGGTACTAATCAGCTTACTTCTCAATCATATTTCACCAATAATATCATTATTAAGGTATCCTTTATTTAAGTGATTACGGATGTGACTTAAGACGCCTTGTTATAATGTTATATTTGGTGCAAATACACCATTCCTTTGGCAAGCCAAGTTGCTTTAAAGGTTACAATATAATGTTGATACATCATATAGATTAAAAATGCAAACCATGTTAAGATTTATGACATTTCCTTGTGTTTTACCTAAGACAGAAAAAATCGTTCATTTTTAAAAAAAAATCTCAACTTTTCACAACAAGCAAAACTCTTATTTTCAGTCTGATCTTTTGAACTTTACAGAAAATCATATTTACTATTCGATTACCTGTATTGTCAATTTACAGGAACCATTTGAATGTAACATTAAAATCATATGCTAATTTAACTAGATTCTGCCTAAACACATTGCATAATATGTGTATTTTCATCGCAGGTTAAGTAAATAAAACTTCAAAGGTAAAGAGGCTTTAACACGTAGTCCGATGGGGGAGCTAAGGTTGCCAAACTTATGGAGGGGAGTGTACATATGTTAGACCAATCGCACATACAAATGCATCGCTCAAATATTTTCCGTTCACGTCTAGGTTGTGAAAAACATTGCAAGCTTAAACTAGTTAGTGTAACAAAAGCGAGTGACTAAATATATGGATTGCAACTTCATTTACAAACCAAATTTTAAATCGAATTACGCCTTCACTTAAAATTCCTTTCAAAACAGTTAAGATTTATTTATCCAACTTTGGGAACATTTGTAAAATTGATTTTTTCTGCATATCCTGCCAAAATTTTATGGAAATTTATGCATTTTCAAAACAGTTATCGAAATAAAAAATATGACTTTTTGGCCCACCCTGTACATGTACATTCAGTTTCGTTTCAGCTATTTACATTTGTATTATTTCAGAGTGTGTTTTTGATGGTATGTGTTCAGGTTCTAGTAAAAGCTGTGACTCCCTTGCAAAACAGCAAAGACATAGATATGAGCTGGAACAACATCACCATAGTAACACAAGGCATGTTCGGTGACGTCACACATTTGGAGAATTTGGACCTTAGCCACAACAGAATATCAGCGATTTCACCTGAGGCATTTTCAGGTCTGAAATCATTGAAAATGATATTCTTGCAGGGAAACAATCTTAAAATCTTAAAAACCGGAATATTCAGTAACCTGTCATCCCTTTTGTCGATTCGTGTACAGGAAAACGAAATATCAGAGATAGAAACTGGGGCATTTTCAGCCTTGTTATCATTGCAAAGCATTTATCTTCATAGAAATAAACTTTCGCTATTAAAAAATGGAATTTTCAAGAGCCTTACATCATTACAAGTTCTCAACCTTTACGACAATGATATTAAAGAGATTGAATCCGAGGTATTTCTTGGTTTGCAAGCATTACAAATACTCAAATTGAAAAGAAACAAACTCAGAATTTTGACAACGAGAATGTTCAACAACCTTAAATCCTTGCAACAACTTGAACTTCAAAACAATGCGATTTCAGTCATAGAAACAGGTGCATTTTCTAACTTGCAATCATTAAGTTCAATATTATTATTTGCTAATAAACTGACAAATGTGACGGAAAACATGTTCGGAAATGTACCCTCGCTAAAGAGCATCGACCTCGCATTTAATAAGATATCAATGATAGAGCCTGGGTCTTTTTCTAATTTGAAACATTGTGATTCCTTACATTTGTCTAGGAATAAACTCACAAGGCTTTATCCTGGCATGTTCGGTGGTATGCCAGTGTTACAACTTTTAACAATAAATTTCAATAAATTAACATATGTTGAATCTGGCGCATTTTCAGGACTTGATAGTCTTGAATACCTTCTTCTAAATAACAATAACCTACGTAAAATACCAACTGATATATGCGAACATTTACCGAAATTAAAACATTTAGAAATCGGAGGTAACAACATGACGGATCGGCCTTCTGAATACATGAGTACGAATGAAATAAGAGAACTATGTTTAATCACGAAATCTAAATCACATGTCAAAACTGGAACGCAATTTGTCAACGCCACAGTTTCGTCCTCTCAAACAAGACAACCATCGATTTGGATAGTATGTGGATACTCCGTTTTCATACTGTTTATGATTACCGAGAGTGTCTCTTAACTTTTGTACTTAGTGAAAAAAGCAGTCAAATATTATGATATGATTAACGACAAAAACAATACGCATGATACCACGCCCTCTGATTGATTGACTGATGTGATAAGACTCATCGTTCCCAGTACCCATGAGGCATTATTCCCTGTAACGTATCAACTTATTAACTTATGAAGCGTTTGCTTACTTCATCATTTACATCGCAGCTCTGTATGTCCATAAGTGTGATACTTTTACGTATAGATGATGATTTATATATTTATCATATTGTGACCCACGTAAAGCCAATAGGAAAATATAAAATTGTACCTGCGTATAAATTCAGCAAAACCAACTGTACAAGATTGAAGCCTAAGATTGCCAGCCTTATCCAGAGTCATGCCAAATATGTACAGCTAATGGCCTAGTCACATAGCCCGGCCGATGTCCGGCATCGGTAGAGCTCGGTGGATTTTTTTGGTGCCACCGAGCTCTCCTCATCGGAAGCAGAGCTCGGTGACGTGAACGGACTCCGTCCGGACATCTTCAGGCGACCGACCGAACACTGGCCGGTGACCGTACGGAGTCTGTCTCAAAATGGTAGTTTTTTCTGCCGATGTGGCAGCAACTACCGGCCGGAGGTCGGCCGGACATCGGAAGGAATACGGCCGGTACCCGAGCAGGTAACAGGACACCGTGCGATCGCCGGCCGGGTTGTTAACGGGCTTTGAACAGTGACAAGCCGATGCTCTGTCCCACATCAGCCGGAGCTCGGCCGCTGTCCGTTAAAAAACCTCGTCCTCTGGTTGTCTCAGATGCACGGGACACCGGCCGATACTCGGCCGTGCACCGGCCGACGTGTTTTCCGATGTGGTTACGATGGGGCTGCGATGACATGATGAGGGAGCTCGGTGAGAGCCCGGTGAAATTTAACTCCGAAGTTAAAATTTCACCGAGCTACCACCGATGCGGTTTTAAGCAACACACGCCACGGATGTCCGGCCGGTGTTCGGCCGAGTTCGGTGAAAATTGCATCGCTGGCTCATCGTAACCTCATCGGCCGGGCTATGTGACTAGGCCATAAGGCAAAGAAAAGATAATTGGCTTGATTGCCTTGAATTCACCTGGCTATTGAACTGTACAATAAAATTGACTGGCTTGCTTCCAAAGCATTTAAAGGCTAATGTTTTTAAACCATTAAAGGGTCATGTTATTAAAACATGGGTTACAATATGACTCGATGTGCCCTAGGGAATGACTAAGTAACGAGCATAGTGTACCAAGCCAAATACAGACATTAAAGGTTAACTAAGGCCTTTTTGAAAATTTTGGTTATCTCTAGAAATACTGCCGTTTGTATTGTATACTAGTAACTTGGAAAGTGCTCAGAATGGTGAAAAAAACTGTATGATTTTGAAAGAACTTTTAGCCAGAGAGGTTCGCTCAAACCCCTGAACCCCCTCCCTTGACTACAGGCCGGAGTATGTTTCAGTCCATTGTAATAGAGAGATTTTGCATTTTTGCAGATTTATTTGCCCAGTATCCTCACATATCAGAATACATAGCATTTTTTGAGGTTGATTTTTTAATTTTTTACAGATTTTTTTTTTACAGATATTAAAACTGTCATTGCATCAGAGCTTCCTGTTGAGTTCCCCAGACTGTCTTAAACACATTCTGTTCATGACGCAAAGATTCCTCAATATCAGAGTTTTCTGCAACAACAACTGTTGATTTAACTGCATGTATGGCAGCTACAGATCCAATTGTTCTTTGTTCTAACCAATCAAAGGCTTTCAATAAGGCGTCACTTTCGGGTAAAGTACCGTCACTTAATTGTAAATCCTTAGCTTCATCTGCATGTACTAAACGTCCTGATGTTAGTAAATCTAAAGCATTTTTACGACCAATCAATTTCACCAATCTTGATGTACCGCCCCATCCTGGTGACACGCCCATTTTGACTTGTACAAATCCTATACATGCACTTTCCGTCATCAGCCTAAAATCACATGCAGTAGTCAGTTCAGCTCCACCCCCTAATGCCTTGCCTTGTACAAGAGCTACACTCACTAGAGGTAGATTATGTAATCGAGTTGTTACTTCTTGCATAAATTTACACATCTGTCCACCTAGTTCAGGATCCTGTATTTTACTGACTGTTTCTAGATCCCCGCCTGAGCAAAATGACCCGTTGGATCCATACATCAACACGCCTTTACCCTCAGTCCAGCCTTCAAGTTCAGATACTATATCATGTAAATCAACCATCATCTTGCCTGAAAAAAGATTCTTAAGGTTAACTCTAGTGGGAAGGAAGGGGCCACCAGAATGGATGCCCATAATAAAAAGGAACAAAGCATTAACATGCAAAATGTAACTACAGGGTGTCCAATAAATAAGGTGAAAGATATTGTAACTTTCTTAATATTGCACCAAACCTGATGAAATTTTCAGGGTTTGTAGCCCAAACCTTTTTACCTTTATTCTGTGAATTTAAAGCGTCTTCTATTTGATTGGTCAGAGTTCTGGTTGCTACAGCAACCGAAACAACAAAAAGGTGGGGCAAGTTTGTTGACGTCACAACTTTCCAAAACATATTTATTCTTTCTGATAGCTTTATTCATACCCCAATGTCTATTACTACCACAAATATGATATAAAAACAGTCCTTATGTCCCATTGTTATGAAAATAAGCTATTCAACATGATTTCCATCTCTAGCTATACGACTTCTTATGCCTATTCACCCACTCTCTAAACACACTTTCAAACCCATTCTTGCCCATTTCCTGAAGTCTTGCTAAGACATGTGATCTGACTTCATCAGTACTTCCAAATTTATTTCCTCTCAAGTCACGCTTGAGTTCTGCATATAAGTAAAACTCATTGGGTGCAAGGTCTGGGGAATATGGAGGGTGTCCAAGTAGGGGTAGCCCCAGTACCCTTATAGTTTCACTAATGAGCATAGCTGTGTGTGAAATCAGATCACATGTCTTAGCAAGACTTCAGGAAATGGGCAAGAATGGGTTTGAAAGTGTGTTTAGAGAGTGGGTGAATAGGTATAAAAAGTGTATAGTTAGAGATGGACATTATGTTGAATAGATTGTTTTCATAACAATGGGACTTTAAGACTGTTTTTATTTATATTTGTGGTAGTAATAGACATGGGGGTATGAATAAAGCTATCAGAAAGAATAAATATGTTTTGGGAAGTTGTGACGTAAACAAACTTGCCCCGCCTTTTTGTTGTTTTGGTTGCTATAGCAACCACAACTCTGGCCAATCAAATAGAAGACGCTTTAAATTCACAGAATAAAGGTAAATAGGTTTGGGTTACAAACTCTGAAAATTTCAGCAAGATTGGTGCAATATTAAGAAAGTTACTATATCTTTCACCTTATTTATTGGACACCCTGTACATGCCATTTGTTATAGATACCAAGCACCGAACACCATCCACAAACAAAGCTGGAGACTATAACAGTATGTCAACACTTCTGGTTGTGAAAAACTTTTTTTTATAAAATCATTTACTATATCTAGTATTTCAGTTAAACTTAAAGAGAGAATCATACTAGCGAGCAGGCTTACAAAAAATTGTTTCAATTTTAGAATATTTCTCGCTTATGTCATTCCTTTTCATGTCTATTTTCAAAATATACCCAAAGTGCACACTTTATTTCAGGAAATCTCGAGATTTTCTCAATAATATATTATTTTTCTATCTATAAGAATGATTACCATTCTTACTATTTGGGAGAATTTTTCTTATTATTTGGGAAAACATTTTCACCCATATTTGCACTTTGAATCCATTATAACTTCACCAATTTATAACATATCGTGAATCTTTTGGGAGATATTGTATTTGAGATTGTAAGGAATAGATTGGTCAATTGTACACTTGCTTGTAATTGTATCACCCCCATAGATCTGATTCTGCCTTTAATTATTCATACAAAGATTATTTTTGAAGATTAATTCATATCAAAAAAACTTTTAAGCATAATTGGTGACATATACTTATAAAAATATACTTTTAACATTTTCAAACAAGCTTTCATATGACGTCAATATTTTAATTCAAGTGCAAGAATATACAGCGACTGTTACCAATCATGCATGAACATTGTTTTATCCTAAACAATGCAATTCTACATGGGTTAAGATTTTTACAATTTGGTCCTAGGCTCTTGAAGCAAAATAAGGTGAAATGAAATTATGTTCAATAAATGGCCCATGAGCCATATAAATAAGACAATCACGCCTTACCACGAGTAAATCCAACCATCAAACAGTAGATTCCCTAATATGTACAGAGTGGGGATGTTAACAAACATATAATATTATATATGATGAATTCTGTGAGTCAAGTTTATATAATATGCAAGTATCTCATTATCAAATATTCTTGATTACATTTCAATGAAGATGTAAGCAATGTGGTAATCCCCCCCCAAGTAAAATCACCCATAGAAACCCTGATTAAATGTTGTACCTGAGAGTGCATTCATTTTTTCTGGGTAGTTGAGCATGATTGTCGCAATTTTACTGACGCCATCTATTGTGAGGAATACTGAACCACCAGTGTATGTCATGAGCTTGTCACAAAATGATGTGTGTATAGACTTACAGATTTTACCTGGAATATAAAAATTCTACAATTACTAAAAAGGCATTAACAAGCAAAATGTCACCAGCAGTTACAGACTCTGACCACTGAAGGCCAAACACTGTCCAAAGAAAAAGTTAGAGACATATAACACTTAAAGTGGTGCCATAAAAATGCAATCTAGAAATGCCATCACAAAAATGGCACAGTTCAGTGTCCCTTTACTAACTTTTAAAATATGTAGACAAAAAACATCACTCTATTGTAATGAACATGATGAATGGAAGGATACTTTCTCACCACAGTTCAGTATGATGCTTTATTTTACCATGAACTATATTAAACTAGATAACGGCAACTCCGCTGAGTAGCAAATCCCAACGAACAAAATATCAATTATGAAATTCCAATCAATTATACTCATTACTTTGGTTAAAATTGAAAAATTTAGATTTAAGAATTGCAAATTCCTGCAAAGCAGCCATTTTGAATTTTCTGAGGTACAAATCTGAAAAATAATACCAATTCCTTCAATTTGAGTATTATATAGCCATACTTTGAAGGGATCGAAAAATTATTGCGAAATCGTACATTAGGCGGCCATTTTGAATTTTACGAGGCTCGAATCAGAAAAAAGATACAATATTTGCAATCTACTCTTAATTGCCTTTCATTTGAGTATAATAAAGCTATACTTCAGAAAGATCTAAAAATTAGCGAAAATTTCTGTTTTCCATACATGGCCCCTGGGGGTCAGGATGAAAAACACGGAATATATGTGAAATAGATAGATGTTGCGAATATACTACCAAAATTTCAAACAATAATATTAATTACTTTGGTTTAGAATGAAAAATTTATGATTTTTGCGAAAAAAAGTCCCGTCATTTTTAAAGCGGCGGCCATCTTGAAAAAGATTTGCGTTTTGCATAAAACTATTCATCAATATACAAACAAGTACATCTTTCCACCAAATATGAAGAAAATCCGTCAACTAATATTTGAGTTATCTGACGGACGGACGGAGGGCTTCACTATATCCCTACCGAACTTCGTTCGTTGGGATAATCATTTGGGCAATATTATTTTAAATTATTCATCTTACCTTGTCTAACGAAGTCATGGATTTTCTCAATGATGACTGAATTAACACTCTGACGGAAAACATCAGTTTGGCAAGTTGGCAAGTTACCAGTTGGGTGACCACTTGTTTTACCAGTTGGATGACCACTTGTTTTACCAGTTGGATGACCACTTGTTCTACCAGTTGGATGACCACTTGTTTTACCAGTTGGATGACCACTTGTTTTACCAGTTGGATGACCACTTGTTCTACCAGTTGGATGACCACTTGTTTTACCAGTTGGATGACCACTTGTTTTACCAGTTGGATGACAACTTGTTTTACCAGTTGGATGACAACTTGTTTTACCAGTTGGATGACCACTTGTTTTACCAGTTGGATGACCACTTGTTTTACCAGTTGGATGACCACGTGTGTTACCAGTTGGATGACCAGTTGGATGACCACTTGTTTTACCAGTTGGCTGATCGCGTGCGTTACCAGATGGGCGAGCAGATTTTTTACCAGTTGGCTTATCACTTGTTTTACCAATTGGCATAGGGATAGGGTGACCACTGTGATTCTTTGGGAATGCCATGTAGAAAAAATGTTCCGTTTGTTGTTCAGACGGAAACAATATAACTTGGTCAACTATTTTAGCCTTCAGATTTTTGAGCTGTAAATGATAAAAGTGTAGTCTAGTTTATGTATATGTTTATTTACCATGTATGACATGCATATGTACATATGATATTATTATTTTATTATGCACCTCATTAAAATACTCAAATCTGATTGGTTAAGAGCTGCGGGGTCTATTGCCATACGTGGCAGCAAGATCTCGTTCTATCCAGTATTGCAGCAACGAGATCTCCAACCATCCCGTATACCAGAATACCTATCCTCAAAAAATACTTTCGACGAGTCCAATTGTCGATGACGTCATTTTCTTAGAATCTCTTCCATGTTGAATTTGAGATGAATGCGAGGGAGAAAAGATTTGCGTGATATGAGAACAGGGGATTTCTATTCAATTTCCTGTGATTAACTGACAAAAGGTAGGTGGCGCTAGATACGGGATCAGCCAAACTTATTATATATGGAGGGAATACGTAAGAATAAGGCCAAATGAGAGAATAAATGGAATTTTTGATTGTCGAACACCAGGGTTTTTAGGCTCGGCTTCTGTTTTAGTAGACCCATTCTTTAAAATAAAGTATTTCTCAAGGGAGGTGCATAATAAAATAAATACTGGATGACCATGAGGTGGATATGCCAGAATACCTATCCTCGAAAAGAAATACTAGGCTCAGCTTCGCTTCGCCTAGTATTTTTTCCTCGGATAGGTATTCTGGCATATCCACCTCATGGTCATCCAGTATTTGTTTATTATCCTACACTTAGTGTACTTAATGTATATAACATCAAAAACTAAATTTGATATCTATTGGCAAAATTAATAACTGGAGGATATCGCTACGATATATAGGGTGTCTCAAAAAAATGTACCCAAAAGTATATCAACAGCATAGACAAACCAATCAATATTTTCAGACATTTTTTGCATGGTCTTGTAGTCAAAACATGAAAGTTTTTTCCCCTATACTCAGTTTTTAATTCAGTTTCGCCTTTTTGATACTTTAACCCTTTACCTTTTACACCACATAATGACATAATCAATGTAATCTCATATTTCGATGCCAGTCTGCATCCTTACTAATACATTGTTCATCACATTTGATATTTCTGGTGGAATGTTTTGATTTCTGTTCGGATGCTGGTCTTCAGTTGTTCTGTCTCTCAGCTTGGGTTTAGCATAAAAATGGTCCTTCAAATAGCCCCAGAGAAAAAAGTATGGGCCATCAAATCTAGTGAATAGGGAGGCATTCACAATGTCTTATAGCCCCTTTGTATAGAGAGGTCAGACGTTGAAGAAACTGCATTGGTTGGGATTCTAGTGTAGTCTTTGTTGTGTGTAGAGGGGCATAATCAATTCAAGACCACTGTGTTTTCATTTGGATATCATTTGGTCTCCAGGCTAGCCTGCGTAACTCTGGAAGGTAACTCCTGAATCATTTGCCGATAATTGAGCTGATCCTCTGTGTTTGTTCTGCCATCGTCATCCCAAAACATCTTTCTCTGTGGCTATTTTGAAGGAGTGTATTAATGCTCATTCCAAGCAAAAAGACCTAGAACAACTTAAGGGCAACATCCAAAGAGAAATCCAAAATATTCCACCGGAAGTATTATCAAATGTGATAAACAATGTAGCAGTAAGGATATATAGGCTGTCATCGAAATATGAGGTTACATTGATTATGTGGTGTAAAAGGTGAAGGGTTAAAGCATCAAAAAGGGCAAAACTAAAATAAAAATGGTGTATTGGGGAGAAAACTTTCATGTTTTGGCTACATGATCATGCAAAAAATGTCTGAAAATATTGATTGGTTTATCAGTGCTGATGATATACTTTTGGGTACATTTTTTTGAGACACCCGATACTTCGGAAAACCAATATGCGGAGGATATCGTGATGATATACTCCAGGAAACCAATATGCGGAGGATATCGTGACAATATACTCCGCTAGTTGATTTCCTGCCAAATCGAACTATTTGACATGAAATTTATTTTTCAATGATATTAAACATTAAGTACACTACTAATAAGTGTAGGATAATAAGAACATCCTATGACTTTTTCAGAATATCACTTTAATCTACTCTGTGATATTGATATCAATATCACATCATACATAAAAATGATATTCCTCAAAATCATAGGATATCCTAAGCTGAAATGATTGATATTTAGACAGACAGACAGACTGAAACCCCTTCAAGCAGAATCATTAACTAGATAATGGCAACGCCAAGGCATAGCAAAATCCATAAGACGTCAAAGCGTCAAACATTAACAAAGATGCCAGCCATCATTTCTAAAAGTGGTCGCTATACTAGAAACAAATTGTCAAAATTAGGGTACAAATCCTAAAATATCAACAAAATCGCTTCTGGTGTGATGGCGAATGATGTAAAAATTGTAAAATTGAAATTGCCATTTTACTCATAGTACTTTGTGTGTAAAATGGAATGAATCTAATATCTTAATTTATATACCTGGCCCTTCGAATGTGATGCCAAATCAATAAAATGGTTGGTGAAGTAGACAACCTCTTTGACGTGAATTTCAGCAGAGCAACCTAACTTTTTGGTGCGGTGAATTTTTCTCTTCTTGGTTAAGGGTTGTGGGTGATCGTCTAGTTCCTAATCAGAAAAATAAACAAATGAAATAGACTGAAAAAAAAGAAAAAAACAAATCAAGTAGACGAGATAACCATAACATTCAAGGCTTGTTATAAAGCCAAATAATAACTTGATTTTTAAAGTTATTTTTCTGGCCCAAGCAGAATGAAGAATAACAAGGGTGACATCTATTATGTCAGCTTTATTCAGCTATATTGAAACTTATTGATTTCTCATCATAAACTCATCCTCTGATCACAGGGCTTCAAAATCAAGAATGTATTCTTTCTTTTTACCACCTGCCATAAGCAGTTAATATTTCCCCGATTAAGAACTCGCAATCTGATTGGCTGTCGCAGGTCGTTGTGCATAATTAGATCACGTGATTCAGTTCAATTGGGCGCTTCCAAATTGATTATTGCAGGAGGAAGGAGGAACAGATTCTGGAAACCTGCTTAGGAGGATGATTAAACATCACTAATTATGTTTCAGAGCATATTGAATATGTAGTTATTAAAGTAAATACCATTTAAAAGATCTAAACGTACAGGTATCTGTGCGAGTGGCTCCTTTACTACATTTGGCGGGCCAAATGGACATTCAAGGAATTGATTTGATTCAGTCCTGAATGGTATTCCTCTATCCTTGATGTGAATGGGCTTCTCTGGATTCCCTTGCATGTACCAGAAGATCCGTGCTAAAAACATGAACGAAGAGTAGTGGTTAATACTAAATAGCTACCAATAATCAAAATTTGACTACATCAATGGAGACTTTTATACATTACTTTCGACCAGTTGAAACCCACCGAAGTCTCAAAGAGAGGAGCAAGCACAAGAAGAAAAATAACTAGAAAAGTGAAATTGAAGAGTTCAATTTCAGACTATGACGGCCTAGAAGCTGTATATTGGTACAAGCGATATATAGTGACTTCGTGATTGTTATATACTGCAACTTTAAAATGTAATACTCAACATTAAAGGTACAACAATGAGACTGCAGAGTGGCAATTCAACGATCGTCGGCCAGTGTCAAAATATATTTAAGTTCGGCTATTTCATCAAGTCTTGCATATATTTTTGTTATCCACAAAGAAACCCCCTGGATGAACATTATTTCAGCTGATATTCCTCTTGAAACGTGGTGGATCTTATAAATCTATAAGTGGGACTCCCTTTATAGAAGCTTTTAACTGAATTTATATTTCTTAATGCTGAAATTGATAATTTATCCAAACATTTTAAGAAACTAGGTAATAGGTATGTCAAAGAAGATGTTATTCCAAATGTTGACCTGATAGTTCAGAAAAAGTAAGATTTTTTGAATTTTCTCTCTCCAGGCCTTGTTGCCCCTTTAACTGCCAAACATACACTCATATGATCTTCTCTTTGATAGCTGTCCATTTGCTTTTATACGCTGATCAGACCGCCTTATAGCAAACTTGCAATTTGAGACACATTCAAACGCTCTGAGGACCTCCTCAAAATCTGCCCTGCCGCCACGAACATATCCAGTGTAATAGTTGGGGTTATCAAGGCTAAAGTCTTGGAGTAAATCACTTAGTACCTCTTGAATTGTTCTGGTCATTCTTGACTCCTGAAGAAAAAATACATGTAGTAGTAGTTGTAGTATTCTAGCTCAAATGGTAGATATTGTGTATAATTCACTCTTTAAATCGATCAGTAGGGAGTTTAAGCTTGCAATCTTTTTCAAAACCTAATGTGAACGGAAAATGTTTTAAAATGACAGATAAACCCAGATTATTGTGGATTCGACTACACGAAAAGAATGCTAAAATACCCAGAATCTATTGAATGTGTAAGAGGCGTAGAAAATCCCCCATGTTGTAATCGTACAGGCAAAATATTGAGACATTCTCAGGACTATAGTCCTGGCACGGATAATATACAGGTATGTCAGGCCTGTAGCCAGGGGGAGTGGAGGGAGCAGCTCCTTGCCAGATATTCTATCAAAATCATGTAGTTTTTCACCATTCTGCACTTTTAGCATGATTTTTGCCAAAACTGTCAAAAAGCTCCCCCAGCAAAAGGCTCCCCTTGGTAGAACCTCTCCCCCTGGTAAATCCTTGATACGTCATGTATGATGCATGTATAGATTTACTAATAGATTTCTATTATATTGCACTGCTGTCTTTTGACACAGATATTGGCCAGATCGTTTTGTAGTAGGATCTCATAGGCTCAAAGAATATTTATTGAGCTACTGATCCTACTACAAAAGAATCTGGCCGGGATCTATTGCTCATTTTTCACTTTCACTTTCATTCGGATTTGATTTTGATTGACGCAGAGAAAAATGGACTTTAGATAAGATTGCCGTAAACACTTTTCCGGCCTGTTTGGTCAACCAAAGTAACACAGATCATGAATTATAATATATACCTACAGCTAGAGAGTATTAAATCCTACCTTGAACACATAAAACGCTTGATAATTAAGCAAATGTAATTTTTCCCCAACTTTAATTTTTTTTCCAATTATGGCGCACCAAGGTAGTCTAAATGTAAAACCAGTATCGGAAACGAAATCGTAAGTATTTATTTATTCATTATTATTTATAAAATGGAGGGAATTTTAAAAAAGTGTTTTGCAAAATAAAGTCTTAATCCAATAATGAGTAGAGCAAAAGAATGCAATTTAAGCATTCCTAGGTGAGACAAGACTTAAACCGTCTATGTCTATGTCAATAATCTGCAAAAGGCTAATAAGCCCATATAAAGCAGATATATAATTTAACAGTGATAGAATTTGAATAGAATATAATTTAAAACCTTAACATTTAAAAATAGATCTATGGTTTACAACTCATTCCTTCCTACAGGGGCCAACCTTCCTGGTTGGCCCCTGTACCCCCCTAGGAAGTCCCCAGTCATTTTTGTTGAAATACAACCTACTACAGTTGGGGACAAAAATAAATGACAGTTCGATTTTCGATCACCATTTCCTAATTATGGTGGTCTGAAAGCCCATAATTTCAAATATTGTCTAGATACATATCCCTTAAAATTTGTATATCTTACATTTTGTATAATCTCATCCACTGATTTATGGCCTTTTGTAAATTCTCTTATTTTTAACATGGGAAATTCTACTTCAGCAAATCCACCTGTCATTTATTTATGTCCCCAACTGTAAAAAAATCCCATATATTGAAATGTCAATTTTTATCCCAAAACACACCCAATGGTAACCAATTACATATTAATTATACGAAGAAATACTTCTACTTACTTATTTTTCTATTACTGGTTCACAGAAATCTCAATTTATAGCATGAGTCGACAAAACGTGTAGAAAAATGAAAGAAACATTTCGTTTTCAAAGTTACGCTCTACCGAAGGCTCTGATTGGTCGACTCGAATTTGACCTAATTACAAATTGCGCGAAAATTGAAACTTTGGCGAAGTGAAGTGGTTTTCATTTGCTTCGTGTGAACAATGTTCAGTAAGTTCAATACACCTAAGGTCTCTCTGTGATTGCAAAGGAGGAATGATGTATCATTTCCGAATTTTTGTGGAATAAAAGATATATTGAAGTGTAGAACGCCATAAAATGCAAGTATATTTGTGATGCATTGTAAGCACAACCAACAGTACAACAGGGGTTATAAACCAAGGTCTAGTTTTACTTGTGAAACGATATCACACATAATCACTAATTTTAAAGGTCAATCTTCATGGGATTTATTTCTAAGTATATTATTCTTGTACATCATTCAGTCATTACAAGAATCTTGGGATCGGGAACACATTATTTTTGTATATCAGTACACATTCTCACCCGAGTGCACACTGGTCATCGCATAATCCGAGTGCACCCTCGACAGTACACACTCTCACCCTAGTGCACAATCGTCAGACACTCTCACCCGAGTGCACCCTAGTCAGTACACACTTTCATTCACTCTCATCGTATTTGAGTGTGCTATCACGACGGTGCCGCGCCTGGTTTTTAGAGTGTACTTACAACGGTGCACTCGTCTGGTGAAAATTTTTAATGTCGAAGGTGCACCCGGGTCGCAGGTTATATAGAGTATGTATGACGTGGTTTCACACGGGTGAGAGAGTGTATATTGAGAAGGATGCACTCAGATGAAAGTCTGTACAGACTTTAATCGGTTGACATCATGTAATGACAAAGATGCACTCGGATGAGAGCGTGTACTGACTAACGAGTGTGCACTCGGGCGAGAGGATGGACCGTAACTCAGTGAATTTCTGCGCCGAGCGTAGAAAAACTACCCTCGCCTTGCTTGCTGTCCCCGTCCCAGATAGCACAACGACGTTGGGCCAACGTTGGGCCAACAGCATGCCAGCCAGTGGGCCAACAGTGGCTGCCAACGTTGGCCCAACGTTGGCGTGTCCAGCCAGCCAACGTTGGTCCAACGTTGGCAGCCACCAAAGAACCAACGTTGGCCCATCGTTGGCCCAACGTTGGCGTGTCCAGCCAGCCAACGTTGGTCCAACGTTGGCAGCCACCAAAGAACCAACGTTGGTCCATCGTTGGCCCAATGTTGGTCCATCGTTGGCCCAACGTTGGCTTGTCCAGCCAGCCAACGTTGGTCCAACGTTGGCAGCCACCAAAGAACCAACGTTGGCCCATCGTTGGCCCACCATTGACACAAATTACTTTTTTGAACAGCCATTGTTGGCTCCTTGGTATTAGCGGCAGCCCACAATGGGCCACCCTCAATGGGCCAACTGCGATCATGCCACCCAATGGGCACCAGTAGTGACGTTGGCCCGACGTCTTTGTGATATCTGGGCATTCGATACTCTTACTGTGAATGTGTTCACAAATAATATCCGTTCTACATCAATAAAATATGGTGGCTTGTTTTTCCATACTAAATATATTTGGTAGCCTTATAAGTGGTTTCAACTGTATTACAAGGCGAAAATCCATATTTCTGAGGTAAACAACATTATCAGATAATTTTGAAAGAAAATATTTCATAAAATTTACCTTAATTTTTTTAATGACTGCTGGTATGTTTTTCTTCTATTTTTAAGCAAAGCATTTGCACTGATTTATGGATAAGTGGCTTCCTGGTGTTAGCGGCAGCCAACGACGGTCCAACGTTGGCCCAACTACAATTTGCCAACTGCATTTTTGCACTGATTTATCGATAGGTGGCTTCCTGGTATTAGTGGCAGCCAACGACGGGCCAACGTTGGCCCAACTACAATTTGCCAACTGCAATTTGCACTGATTTATCGATAGGTGGCTCCCTGGTATTAGCGGCAGCCAACGACGGGCCAACGTTGGCCCAACTACAATTTGCCAACTGCAATTTTGATCCATGGTATTAGCGGCAGCCAACGACGGGCCAATGTTGGCCCAACTACAATTTGCCAACTGCAATTTTGATCCATGGTATTAGCGGCAGCCAACGACGGGCCAACGTTGGCCCAACTACAATTTGCCAACTGCAATTTTGATCCTGTTATTAGCGGCAGCCAACGACGGGCCAACGTTGGCCCAACTACACTGTGCCAACTGCAATTTTGATCCATGGTATTAGCGGCAGCCAACGACGGACCAACGTTGGCCCAACTACAATTTGCCAACTGCAATTTTGATCCTGTTATTAGCGGCAGCCAACGACGGGCCAACGACGGGCCAACGTTGGCCCAACTACAATTTGCCAACTGCAATTTTGATCCATGGTATTAGCGGCAGCCAACGACGGGCCAACGTTGGCCCAACTACAATTTGCCAACTGCGACCATGCCAACCAATGGCCACCAATAGCGACGTCGGCCCGACGTCTTTGTGCTATCTGGGGTACGGCGTACCCAGAATTTTACAGGCCGCGGGGTGGCCGTAAAAATTAAAACTCACGAGAGTTATAACTTATTTGTTCATTTCTGCGGTCCCCGTAGAAATCAGCAGGCCGTTGCCAGACCGCAGAAAGGTCCAACGGTGGCCGCACGTCGGCTTTGCCGTTAACTTGCGTCTGTTGTACGGTTTGATGGTTTATGTACCTTTGGAAACAGTTTTTATGTCAGTCTTCGGTCATGTATTTGCTGTAAACAATGCGTATACTGTTTGATGTAAGGCCACTGATACCACAGCAACTTATATTTCACTTGCACTTTTTATTCGATACTATAATCCTAACACTACAAACAACATTTATAAATTGTACTGATGTAGATAAAATAAAAAGCAGAATCAACGTTAATCAACAGAAATTCAAAAACTCGCCGCACGGCTGGCGTAGGAAATTCAACGGGGAGCGTAGAAATGTTACTGACCGCAGAAATGATAGACGACGTTCACTGGCATGTAGCGGCCCTGATATCGATAAATTCTACACACAATATAACCCGATTTTAGATGCTTGGTTAAAACTTTACACGAAAAAGCC